AAGAAAAAAGACAATTATTCCCGTTTAATATAAAGCTTCCAAATGGTCCAAAACCATTATTCGAATACACAACATATGTAAAAATTATTTATTTTGATATTTATTACCATGAGGAATTTGATGCTCAAGTCGCCACCCCTCTTGCTTAAAATCTAGTTCTCTTAAATAAGGATGAAAGGTTGCATCCATATAAACATCTCTCAAATTTTCATAATCCAATAGGTGAGTTGTAGAAAATGGATATATTGTATAATCATTTGCTGAGATATACATTTTAATTAATAGAATCGAAATTATTATATAAACTTATCGATTTTGGTTAATTATTTCAAACCTGTAAAAGCATTCATGAAATTCGCCAAGCTACGATTTAACATTTTAAAAAAAGGATCTCGTATAGGAAATTTTTTACTACCACATAATGTGGTATGCTCCTTTTAATACAAAATTTGATTGAAATTTAAAATTTTAATTAATTGAAAAAAAAAAAAAAAAAAAATGTATTACCAAAATATGTGGAGTCCCACTACTATTCATAGGTGGTGTTGAGAACCCCACACCAAACACATTATTATCATCATCACGAGCAATATGTAAATGTTCCGCACCAGTAGCTTCGTGACGAAGCTGTATCGCCGTAAGTTCAAGTTCTGGTATGTGTCTTGTCTATAAAATTGTCTCGTGAGAAATATTGATCATTACTGTATTGATAAAGAAATGATAATTTTACCTGTTCGACAAGGAATCCATGTATCCGATCTTTCGATTATGATAAATTTTAATAAATAAAATAAAAACAGAATGCTATTTTCTATCAGATTAAACAATCATTCTATAAATAAAATATAATGCCACCTCCGCTTATAATAGAATAATTCCTTTGATTAATTATTTGTCGTAGATAATATTTTTGATTAGTTATCGGCCGTAATTTCAATGCACAACGTCTGATAAATAGGAAATTCATTTTTTTTTCTAAACAGATTGGAAATCTGTGGCAATCTTATCGTTATCGTTATACGTAATTAAAAATCATGTGATATTTATCATTTCATCTAAAGATGGGATTCGTGATTATTAACGACGATTATGCTAAAGTTTCAGTTAACCGTTAGAGATGGTAAAAAATTTTTTTATTTCTGTACTTCAAAACGATGAAAATATCCAAAGAAAACTAAGGGTGTCAAAAAACAATTTAATTATTAAATCGGTGAAAAAATAGAGCTGTTACCCGGATCGAAAAATTTTCGACCCGGACTATGATCCGGTCAAAAGTCACAGAGGTCAGGCTTGATAATTTACAATTAAGTCGTATATGTGCTTGAGGTTGCCTTGAGATATAAATATTTAAATTGGAATATCTTGGATTTTGCATTAAAAAATTACTCAACCCTGTTCATAATTTGAG